ACGTTTGTTCCTCCTCTCTCTCTCTCTCTCTCTCTGAGAATCTCTGAGTAATCTCGTTGCAATAAGTTTTCAATCGCAGTGAGCCTCGTAAAATTTACATTCCTATATAGAGGCTACATCATGGGAAAATTCATTTCTTTCGAGAGATCTACTCCGGTATACATTTTTCTATTTTTATTTTTTGTGATATAAAAAAAAAAGTAGTCATTTCATTATTTAAGAAAGTAGATGAATGAATATGAATCATTTATTCCCCATAAGCTTGCAGGTTAGCAAATTAAGGGTCAATACCGTTAGTGATATTTGACCTAGGACAAGTTCAACGTGAATGCAACCGTTGGACCTCGTCCGCCCAAACTTTTCGAACTCTGTCTACAAATTCTAAATACTTTTTTTTTAGATCTTCCCAAATCTATTATTAGATTCTTTTCTCGGACGGTCCACATGGCAATCTACAAATAGTCTCTTATCTGCGATCCTCGGCTTATGGGATTCTCGACCAATCATCATCCTGCACCTTTTTTGTCCCTGCGACTCGAGGGTTTCTCGACCGGAGGAGGGACGAGGAGGAAGGGCAAGGTTTGACCTTTTCGAGGGAATGGCGGGACGGGTAGGACAAGGGTTGGTTCGACGTCTGTCTTTTGGGGCATCGGCCCTTGCCTCGCCGAGGCAGGGAGAGCAGGGGCGGACGAGAAGGACCTACGCGTTATTGAGCGGCCATTTCCCACAAAGCGCAGACGAGGGCAACCACCCCGACGAAGCGCGCGGAATCCTCTTTCTCTCTCTCGCTCTTTGTCCCTCCATCCTCTCCCGACTTCTCTACCCTCCGCCCTCCGCCCTCCGCCCTCCGCCCTCGTCCTTTCGTCCCTTTGCACGCTGCTCTCCCTTCGGTCTGCTACATGCGGGAGAACCTTCCCGAGACACGGATAATGCACCACCTGCAATCGACACATCTTCGAAAATTTCAAGCGTATTTTACTTCTGCCTGACACGTCTATTCTCACCTTTAAATCTTCCATGATTTCGAAAATCATGTGCTATACTTCCAAACTGCTATCAAGCGTTAGTTTTTATTACGAGTATAGAAAATGATAAAGTAGAAAATTTAGAATCAACTTGACTTTTTACTCGATAAGATCAATAATAAACAATAAATAACGAAACGATTATCGTTTCAATATATAGCTTGAATTTATATATAAAATTTTTTTATTAAAATATTTTTAACATACTATCCAGCAGTGCGTGTGTATCCAGTGAAGCTCTATTTCGTTCTTGTCGTTTATCGATTGAATTAGAACGAAAATTATACACGGTATCTCTCGCGCTTTCGGAATAATCAATTTATGTTTCAAAATCGAAGTAAGCTCTTGCGCGAAATTGTAGATGTGCCGGATGAAAAACTTTTCACTTGGTAAGCAACACAATTTTTAGTTCGGAAAAGAAGAAAGGACCCTCGTATCAGTCTCGTTACGTCGGGGTTGATTCGCGCTGTGCGAATTCGGAGGGCATAAGCCCCCTTCTGCGGCACCACCCCGCGCACACCGGTGGAATATATAATCTCGAGGTCATTGCCCGAACGATCTTTGGGGGTACCCCATCGTGGTGCCTGCAGTGAGGGTGAGAGACGCCTCGGAATACCGGACGCGGATATCGACCACCACTTTCCCCAAAAGACAAAAACGCGGGTTCGAAATGGCGCGCGTCGGCCTCTCTCTGTTTCGATGATAACGTATCAATAAGCATGAAAAGCAAGAGAAAATTCTACTGAAATGATTCGCTTATGTATCCTCGATCGTTTCGCGAGGAAATGTACCTCGAGAATGTATTTCGCTTTTACGAAGTAATAATACGTTCTTCAATAATCAAGTAACGCGAACCACAGCGATCTCCTTGCGACTCCCTTGCGAAAGGCTCTTTTACAAAAATATTCCTCGATATCGTTGCGAGATCCATTTTAACTTGCCCCAGATCTGTGTTGATCGAGGAAAAAATCACAACAACGTCGCTTTACGATTCCTCGAGGAGTCGAGTGTCATAAAGACGTAAAGAAAGATTTATATTGACGCAAAAAATACAAAAAATGATATACAAAAAATAAATATACAAAATTGAATCGGTTCTGAATCGAATTGAAAAGTAATTGTGTTAAAACGGAACGTTTCCTTTATGGAAACAAAGCGTCTCGCCTTTCCTCCTGCCGCATCGATTCACGTCAGCAGATCGTATAAACAGTGTAAATAGGATGGATAATTAAGATGATTGAATAGTCAGAGTACTTTCTAACCGTCCGATGCAACGTCAAACCAAATACCACCGTCATGCGGTGGGCCGATGCGGTCGCTTTAAATGGTATGCAAATTACCAGGTAAATTTCGCGCGCGAGCTTTGTCGAGGGGCAGGTAGATAAGGGGAAGGGGGATGAGATGGGTGGTTTGGGGGAGGACCAGGGGTGATGAACGAAATTGAAACGATTGGCCCTGGGTGATTGTTGAAAAACAAACGTGAAACCCGGCCACGCGACTCTATCCCTCTCCGCCTACGAATTAATTACGCTAATGGAAACATTTTCGCGGTATTCGAACTGTTGCGAAAATGGTCGCCGATCGATATAACGCATACGAAGGGTGTATCGGGAAGATGCACACGGATTTTTCACGGAGGCATGTTTCCACATAATTATGATCAATTGTAGCCGTACGTGTAGCCGATCAATTAAAAAGAGAGATTTATCCGGGCAAAAAAGAGCGCACTTTTGAAATGAAATGAAATGAATTTGAATAAGTACTCGGGGAGAAATCGATGCAGTTTGCAAACCTTCATGCAAGACGAGGGTGGCTGGCGGCATATTCACACGACGAGATATCCGGATTTCGCGGTATGCGATGTACAAATGTAGATACGTAGAGATACCGGGGGGGCGCCCGGTACCGGTATTTATAATGACGACGGATCACAGGGCGATTGACCGCGTGGCCTTGACTTCCGGTTGACCCGACTGTCCCCTCTCTTTCCTGAGAATTTCGGTGTAACTCGCAGAATTTCCCACAGGCACCTACTAATCTCGTCCCTCAATTAGAGGAATTCGGTAATTATCGGGAACGGTCCCTTATTGGCGATATCGAGTACTCTCCGCAAGGTAGTTTGTATTAAAAGTTCTTACTCGATACACCAAAAATAAGCAAAAACGATACGGTTTGTATTTATTCGCGACCATACAGGCTGCGTTTCGTCGTATTTAAAAGTCGGATCGTCGCCGGAAACGACGTTGACTTCGATTCCCGTTCTCGGGAATTCTCGGTAATAGGAATGGCACCGACGAACGCCCAATCTGGTCTCGCGATTTCATTTATTTACATCAAACGATCCACCGTGAATGACTCTGTTTAGCTCTCGCCGCTCCACACGCCGCTTCCTTTTTCTTCGCCCGGCGTCTTTCCACCTTCTCCCTTTTTTTTTTCGTTTTCTTTTTTCCAATCGCTCGGGAACCTGTTCGCACAAGTGGCAGCAACGGAATGTCCCAAGTGCTCCTCGCTCTCATCTCGGACCGATCGAGAACCATCATGATCGTTCCATAACTAAGCGAAGATTTCGTTTAATTTCACGCGTTTATCAAAATTATGTGGAAACTTGTTTTTCTCAAAAGCGTTATCGAGAATGAATAAATAGTTAATTCTAATAATTAATCAGATAAAATATTAATTCCACATATGTCAAGTGAGTAGTATTCATATGAACGAACACGTCGTTCGATATACTAAGATGCTAATTATTCAAATAATCTGATGATGATTTGGTTTGTCCGAACTAGATCCTCTTCTAGTAATCTTCTTAGAATTTTATTTTATTAACGCGTACAAGCGATTGATTCCCAAAGCATAAAGCAAACGATTTTCGGCCAGACTTAAAAATATATATATCTAACGTTTTCGCGTGAGAGTATTAATTAGAATAAACAGGAAAAATGAAGAGAGGTAAAAAGACGATACTTATACAAGTTTAGAAGGGAGGCTAAGGAACCTTGACCTTGTCCGTGGTGTGTAAGATTGTGTGCATTTGTACTACAAAAAAAATAGACGAGAGAGAGAGAGAGAGAGAGAGAGAGAG